GTAATCATTTCTATTGTCTGTGTTGGGAGCTGTGGCTTTTTTCCTGCACTTATGTTTCTGCAATCTGATCCCATCTGCTTTCTATCTTCTAGGAATTTTTCAAAATCTGTCTAAGAAAAGATCTCTTTCTTGTTTCAGCACCCGTCATGGATCCCTTCACCTCCTCCTCTTGTCCATTCATCTTATTTAATCCTCACAATGATTCAGTGAAAGATGCACTTTTTATTACCTTATTGTTCAGTGGGAAAACTGAGGATCAGAGAAGTTAGATTAGCTTCTCCAAGATGCCACAGGTAGAACGTGGCAGTGCTGGAACCTGACCCCAGGTTCATGTAACCCGAGATGGGAATAAAAGTATGCTCTCTGCCTTTTACTGGAGAGATCCTTCTCTATGTTTGCATCATCGTTCCTCCTCCCTGTGGCCTGAGTGGTCCCACAGAGCTGTTCTGTAGCCCCGACAGGTGCAGTGCAGAGAACACAGACATAAGAAGTATGGCTGTCACCTGGCTAGAGCATAATAGGTTAGATTTTGAACTCAAGTTATCTGGCCCAAGAAATGTCATCCTAAGGCATGCCACCACTCAGACTTGAGATGTTCCCACTAAATTTCTCCCAAGCACCCCATTCTGGTAAAAAGAAAGTATATCTCTGGAATGTAGCCACTTTGTGCTGAGGAAAGACTGCCTCGTGACTATGTTTTATTACAAGCAGGGCAGCACAATTCCACTTCTAAAATCAAGATCATGTATTACTTTATACAATGGAAAGGCTGCCAGGACTGTCAGCAAACTAACATGTCACAGTGTATGACAGGACAGACCTTGGGCATGTCCAGGGTATCTAAGAAAGGAAGGTGGTGGGTATAGTATGGCAGGACCTATGCATTATACAAAGAGGCAAGAAGGGATGGCTCATGAGCTGCCACTAATTAACAGAGCCACCTTCAATAAGTGGACCTCAATGGGCTTCTGTTTTTCTACCTGTAAGGTAAGGTTTCTCTAACTCTGATGTTCGATAATTCTAAGTGAACAGTAAATTGAGAAGTAAAAGCTTCAAGGTATTCTCAGCCTCTCTAGTCAGATTTGTTTTTCAGAGTCCTGATGACTGGTCCAATGCCACCTCTCAGAGCTCTTGCCTCACACTCACCCCCCAGCTCACAGTCTCAGGTACAACAGTGTTGTACAGTTATCATTAAATTATTTTCATCTAAGTCTTCCTTGTCTCAGTCTATACCAACCCTTTCCACCATCCCCCCCCCACACACACAATGCTGGCCAGTAATTATATTTGTTATTTTTAAGACTCTGTTTAGGTAAAATTTCCTACAGAAAGAATTTTCTGATTCCATTCCCAGGCTGAGGGAGACATCCACCTTCTGTGCCTCTCTCTGCTGCATGGTGGGAGTCCAGGATGTCCCACTGCACTAATCTAATTTAAACTTGACATCCTGGAAAGTGAGTATTAGCTCTATTTTTACAGATGTGAAAACTAAAATGCAACAAGATTAAAGAAGCCGCCCAACACTGCACACCATCAAGTTTCAGACCCAAAGTCAAACTGGACATGGGTGCTCAGTCACCATGCAGGGCTAAGCTTTGTAGCATTCTTTTCATAAATATGAGCACAATCTCTGTGATAATCTAACACCCCAATGAGAAGTAGCAAAGACGAAAAACCAGCAAAGGCCAGTCATGCACAGGCTACAGTGGTCAGAAGAAACCTGGTTGGGTTAGAGAACATGGGTCATTGTCCTGCATGAAATGGGATGAGAGTTCAGGTAAAGCCCTATTGAGAGGCCCATTTACTTGTCACTGAGTGAGGAGTGATTTCCAAGCTGGCAGGTGAAGCTTAGCACACAGACATCTGGGTTTTGTTCCTTCTTCCAAGTCATTATGTACCTATCTAAATATCAGGAGATGGATCTCACACATGGTTTTGGGGGACCCTATGTTAGGCTGTACTAGAGCCTCTTTTACTTGGAAATATCAAATATGCATTAATAAGATCATACACCAAAATGATATTGTTTATAGCCAATACTCCTATGAATTTCATAGAACAAAATGTAGATAAAATAAACTTTTTTTTAGAGAAAAAAGGGTAGAAGTAATACAGAATTTCAAAAAATAACAGTAAGAAATCAGTAGTTGATAAATTGATGAAAGGGAAGGAAAATGCTTGAAAGGAAAGAACAAGTTGTAGGTATACACATATAACCGTATGCATGTTTAAGTGTAAGATAGATAATACTACTAAGTTTTTGTTGGTTCATCAAACAGAATAGATTGTGCTGTCATCGTATGATTGCCTGTTCATTGTTTATGCTTTGATTTGGTAACTTGAACAACTACTTCTAAGATAATATACTTTTTATAATAAATTAAAGATCAAAATAATAAAGTATTAGCAAGTCTCTAAGTATAGGATTATTTAAAGTTTTAAAGTAATTTTCATAATGGAAGCATTAAACCCATGTATCACTATCATTTTTAACTAATATTTAGTTTAGAACTTTTTTTAAAATCCAGGTTTGGGATACATGAGACATAAATGAACAGAAAACAAGAAACTTAGTGCTGCTGTTCCACTATATATATATATATATATATATATATATATATATATATATATAAAATAGCCAGGGTTTTTAGCTGTACTTAGTTTAAACTTTGAAGACGTAAAATAAATGTTTTTTCCAGTAAGTAGCTTACCTTACCTGAAGTTGTTCTAGGAAGGATTATGAGTAAAATTGTTCTCAAAAATACTGATGAAAGAAGGTGCAATGAGAAATAAATGTATATTATTTAAAATTACAGCACAGTGGCTAAGACTATGGGCTCTAGACTTAAACTGCCTGAGTATAAATCCTGACCTTAGCTGATATATCTGTGCCTCATTTCTCTCAGCTATAAAATAGAGATATCTACTTATACAGTTGTGTAAGAATGAAAGGCATTAATGTGGCTGGCAGACAGTCTGCATATGGTGAATACTCGATGAATGTCAGCTATTAGTTACATATTAGCTATTATTATTGACAATTAAATGATTAACTGTTATGACAATTAAATCATATTTAACTTATATAATTTATGGCTATATTTTAATTTATTCTAAAGAAAGTATGTGTATGTGTAATATACATATAAACATGTACATAGATACACACGTATTCTCTACAAGTCTGAGAGGAAAAAAAGGTTGAAAAAGAGAAAAAGGACTCTAGAATCCTCATTTATTAAATGAGCCAGTAATTCTTGCATAGATGTAATAAATCAAATAATAATCAGTATAATTGTATAGATCTGAGTTGTGTTCAGTGGGAGAACTGTGAGCTAATTTTTTAAGTAGCCTGTCTGATATTTGGAGATCTTTGTCATAGACTTTTGACTATCCAGTAGCCCACAGTTTATGGTTAAGAATCAGAATAGTGGTTACGCTCGGGGGAGGTGGCTGACTTAGTGATTAAAAGGAAAAATGAAAAGAGACTTTTTTGCAGCTGGTAATATTTCATTTCTCAGTGTGACTGTTGTTCATATGATGTAGGTACTTCTGAGCATGTTCTGTATATATGTTGTACAGCCAAAAAAATAGAACAGAAGCTGCCTCTGGGGAGTAGCGTGGGGCTGCATAGCTGTGCAACTTGAGTTTTGCTTTACTGGATTATATTAACAATTGGTGTTTTTCACTCTTGAAACCTTTGTCTAGTGTTCCTAAGTAGGTAGAACAAATTGAAAGGCCATGTGCAAGATGACACTCTAACCAAGGAGGCTCCCAGGTGTATCTCTTCTAAGCTAGGTTTGGCCCTGGAAGCCCAACAGCAAAGGATTGTGACTTTAAGCAGCAGTGGATACTGCAATGGCTGCCCCTAGCTCTGGATGGTAAGTCCATCAGAGGACAGACCCACAACATAGGACTTATCACTGTCATGAGCACCTGTGCTTCAGTTCATACCCACAGGTCAAGCACTTCTTGGGCCAGACCCTGTGCTAGGAGCAGAGAACACAAAGGTAGACAGGTCTGGAAATGGAAGATTCAGGGAATCAGGAGTGATGGCAGTCACATGATAGGTAGGGGAGCTACAGGAAAGAGGACACTCAGCCAGTGCCAGCAGGGAGACAAAGTGAGAATAGTTTGGGGGATATGATGCTTAAACTGTCAACCAACCAAAGATTGACAGAGAGAAAGCTGAAAGGGGAAGAGAAACAAGGAGAGAGGAGAAAGGGACAGCAAGAGGAAAGGGGGGAAAGGAGAGAGAAACAGAGAGATAGAGATGGGAGCAGATATATCAAGGAGTTGGTTAATTGGTTTATGTGATTGTGTACGCTAGCAAAGCCCAAAATCCATCAAGCAGGCTGACAACCTGGAAACTCTAGGCAAGAGCTAATCCTGAAGTCCAGAGGCATAATTTCCTTTTCCCAAGACACTTCAATATTATTCAGGACTTTCAAGTGATTGAATGAGGCTCACCTAAATTAAAGGATAATCTCCTTTTAAAGTCAATTGATCACTGATGTTAACCTCATCTACAAAACACCATCACAACAGCATCTAGATCCATATTTAATTGAAGAACTAGCCTCACCAAGCTGACACATAAAAGTAAATATCACAGTTGAATTAGAAAACTGAATCTCTAACAGGACAGTGGACACAAGGCCTGTGTGTGTGTGTGTGTGTGTGTGTGTGTGTGTGTGTGTGTCTATATGACCATGGGTGTTTCAGTATCTGTGCATCTATGTGTGTGTCTACATGCTTGTGTCTATGTTAGAGAGAATTAAGGAAATGGAAGTATGCAGCAGGAGAACAGATGAGTGTGCAGAGGAATTCAGAGAGAGTAGCTCCTAGAGGACTTTGCTACACTCTGAGCTTTACCTGACCCTGTGGTCCAAATCAGGTTGATCTTCACAATCCTCTAGAACTTCCTTGTTACCTATTTTGAAAACATAGTTTCTTTGGTCCCCTCCCAAACTTAATGACTAAGATGAAATAGCAACTAGTTTTATTAAAAACCTTTATTTTGTCCCCAATTTGATTGCCAGGTTTGAGTACTTTCAGTTTAGTTAGCGGAGTACCCTGAAGGGTTAAATGATAGGGTCTAAATTTTGTTGTCATTTAACTGTCATCCTGGTATAAGCGTTTGCAATTTTAACATGAATAGGATAACTTTTTCGTGGTGGCTCAAAACATTAATGCAGGTAGAATGTACCTGAGAAAAACATTACTGAGATCCTTCCCAGTATCCTTATCTTCACAGACACATTCTAACTAGGATCAGAGAGGCCAGAGGCTGGAGGCAGAAGGATGGGGTTCTTGGTCATTGTCAGCTTCATTTCCATGGAGATCCATTCATTCATCAACCACTCATTCAGTATTTACAGAGTCTCCAATCCATGCCAGGTTTGGTGGGAAGACAGGAGAAGGAGGCTGACAATTTTATAAATATACGTATCTGAAAAACATAGATTGACAAGAGCAAATCACAGAGCCCTTTTGCAGCAATCATGAGGTAAAGTGGTACAGAGAGTAAGTGTAGATGTCAATACTCATGCTTGTTTAAAAAGCAAACACATACAAAATAACCAGTATGCAGCTGGTGCCCAGGCAGCATTATGTGAGCGTTGTACTGGACCTTCCTTGGTTCTTATCAGTGCCAGCACCAATTTTCAATAGTCCTAGTCCCTGAAGTCCTGGAAAAAGTTTTAGGAGGGAAAAAGGGATATCTGGCTTCTAAAATCTTTAATGTCATATTGTCTATCTGGTTGACAAAGGCAACAGGACACCACATGTCTATCACTGAGGTCCAAAACAGGTACTACAAATAAGACTTACTTAGGAAGCATAAACATCCTCTCTTCAGGAAAACATGTGAGTCCCATTTCAATGTAGATCTCTTCAAGTACATGCAGAAACTATCAGGGTCTGTCACCACTACCTCCAACTCAAGAGAGAAGTGTTCTGGTAGGGATCTTCCTTTTCACAAGACCTGAGAACCTTGTGACATCTAATTCTAGAGCCTTCCATCATTCCCTCACTTCTAGTCTCAACAGGACAGGTGCTGTGATTCACATGGCTCTTGCATGTCAACTGGTAGAATGGGGATCCTTTCTAAGATTATCCCAGGTTAAGATTATCCCAGGATGTTTGATGTTTGGTTCTTTGCCTTGTTGGTTTTTACATTTTTAAACAGGGTCTCTTGATGCAGTAGGTCAGACTGGCCTTGAATTCCCTATGTTACCAAGGCTGCTGTAGAACTTACAGCAATTCTCTGCCTCAGTCTGTAAAGGGCTGGCATTACAGACATGCAGTATCACTCTCTACCCATCGCAGCATGTTTTTAAGATTAAAAAAAGTGCAGAAACCAAGGATGGAAAACTGCTTAATCCTGCAGCTGCTCTTACTTCATCTTGCCTGAGTCCAGGTTGGTCTCCCAACTCTAAAAGAAGCCAGTTCCAGTTCCCAAAATTGACATTCTAATCTGGGAACAAATCGGTAGCATGCTTCTGAACATTTCCATATTGTGAAGAGGATTGATCCATTCACCCAGTCTTAGCTTCCACAACTGCCACCAGGAGACACTAGGACACATTTCCTCTTCCGTTACTTTTACTGCAGGTCACTCATCACCTTTCCAGCCAGCTAATTTGCAAGCCTATGACCTATGCAGTGCCCTCTTCTGGCCATATTCACACTCACCCTCCTACATGCGTGATCCAACACACTGAGTGAGAATTAAGCAGAAAGACCTAAGAGTTCAAGAATGAAATTAATTGCTGTGGCTTAAAAAACAAGCCTGCTAAAATTGGACATTCAAAAATAGAAGAAACAAAATAAAGTCTTCAGTCCTTGATCATGACTTCTACAGTGACAATTTGAAATCAGGAGAATTCCTCCAGTATAATTTGTAGACTTTTTGCCAAGATAAACCCAAGCTTTGATTTGAAATCTGAACCCCAAAAAAGGGTAAAAATGTCCCTAGGATCCTAAGGCAAGCCTCTGGTGGAGCACCGGGGAAGCCCATTCTCTTGTCAGAGCAGTTCCCTCAGCAGCATGACTCAGGCCTGGTTTCAGAGAAAGGGCTTGAAACACTTGCCTTGAAAGGAACGTGACTGGCTAACAGTGTTGCTGTACTGCTATCTGTATAGCTGAGCAGTGTTACAGGGATACTGTCTCTGAGCTCTCTCCCTTACCATTCCAGGATTCGTATTGAAACCACTTCAAACTGAAAGACACATCTGCTTGCTGTAGCACACTAACCCTCCCTCAAAGGAAAATAAGACTAAATTAAAACTAAATCTCTATTTTAAGACTCCAGAACCCACCAGGGCCAAGTCCTTGACTTAACATCTTAAGATCCTAGAAAGAATGAATCATGATATTCTATCCAACTTTTTCCTCAAGGCACTGGAGGCACTATTCTCATAAGTGATGGTCCTACTTAAGCTGAAAGTAGCTGCTAAGTACTTAAGAAGCTAAGCAGACCTTTAGGCAGGTTGATGGATCTGGAGACATAAAAATTGGGTCCCCGGACTGCTGATAGTGACAACATATGATGCTAGAAATACAGGAGGAAAAAAAGAAAGGAAATAGGTGAATCCAAAATCAGTTGCCACATTTCTGGTCAAGGCTTTGCTAGGCACTCTGTACCATAATCCAGGCAAGAAGGGATATCTACTGAGGTAAGAAGGTAGTGAGATTCACCTTATAGAGAATGGATGAGAATTTAAACCACCCATAGAGAAAGCACATTTCAATTCATGTACCTAAAGAGCTATACCCTGAGCTCCATCCATACAGAAATTGAACTTTGTTCAAGAACTTTTTCCAGTATTCCACTCTGACAAAAGCAGGATTAGTGATCCTAAAGGAATCAATTGAAAACGCCCAGATTGACACACAGTAATAGAAATGGAAAATGAAGAAAAAAGTAAAATAAATATTCTCTGTTATTCACCACATTAACAGAATACAAAAGAAAACTTACATGATAATAGACACAAAAAATTGGAAAATTCAACAGGCATTTATACGTGACAAGAAACCACATGTGTGTACATACACACACACACACACCCACACACACACAAGGTTTTCCCCGAGACTGAGAACAAACCAAAGATATATGCCTTCATTTCTTCATATACTATACTTGGTGTCCTGGACAGTCCAATAAGAAAGATAAATCATAACTGGATTACAGATTAGAAAGAAGTCATAGGTGACGCAATTATCTATGCAGAATTTTCCCCACTCATGTCCACACTGTGGAACCTGCACGTTGCCCCATTTCCCCACATCTCCAACACTTCTCCTTGGAAAAGACCAGTTCAAACCTATTCCCCACATAGAAGCCTACTCTGAAACTTCCAGCCTTAAATACCCCTCCCTTTTTCTAGCTTTACTTTATTTCACCTCAATAAACATTCATTTTACTTCTACAATGTACTAGCACAGGGAATTGTCACAGGATTTTGTCTACCTATTTCTGTGGCATTTACCACTCAAGAAAATGAGCAAAATATATTTCCTTAAACAAAACAAATATCAAAGCTAAACTAGGGTTTCCTTTCACAAATATCATTTATCCTAGTTCCTCCTGAACCTATCCAAAGGTGACCACTCTTACCATGTTGGTGATAGCCTTTTGAACTTTTGCTCATCACTGTAATGAGTGATTTTTTTCTGAGACAGTTTTGTTGTATACCTCCAGCTGGCCTCAAACTCCCAATCCTCATGTGTTAGCCTCACAAGTGCTAAGATTATAATATATACCACTACATCCAGCTGTGTTTTTCTTTTTTTTAATAGCCATACCTATTACCCTTAGAAAGTACATCAAATTATTTTGTTATGTTTTTTCTTCTGCTTTTCACTTTACTTAGGAGATTTAGTATATATTTGCAATTATTTGTCACTTATTCAAAAGTGTATCCTAAAGATCTATTGCTATATCTACCTCATTCTTCTTTATCACTATACAATTTTTCATGGTATGACATTAGCCTGTTTATGTAGATGCTCCCCTATTGATTGACATATAGATTGTTTGCAGTGTTATATTACCAGTAATACTGGTAATACCAGTAATACTGCAATTGTCATAATTTTATATGCCCTTTTCCATTCACATGAATGAATGTCCATCTGGGGTACAAACCAGGTTGTGAAAGCAATGTGTGACAGGGCATGTTCATTCTTTACATCAACAGATATTATCAGGTTGCCTTAAAAAAATTCCCCTGAAGGCAAGATTTTCATCAAATTCATCTCAGTATTCTGCCCCTCACTTGAGTCACATAGTAGCCACTCATTAACTATTTTTTAAGGTTGATGGATGAAAGAGTACATAGTTATTTTGAACAAATACTGCATTATTTATCTGACTCACTGTGTAATGATTTGCAGTATTTACCTTTTCATAAATACTTTGTACTTCCACTGCTTAACTGCATATGTTATGTCTTCTATTACTTGAATCATACATCATGACTAAACTTACACAGATATTTAATAAATAATAGTATTTGTTGAATCAATGAGCAGGTATGTTTTATGTTTATGGTAAAAATAGGCTGGGGAAATAATCACTGTGATTATAGCAACACACCGTAAACATCCAGTAAGGGTGACACACACAGGCCAATTACTACAGAAAGGGATCTAAGCATGTAGATGTGTTTCTGGAGCTCAAATCACACAGTAGTGGTGGTCATTAGCCAGGAATAAAAAAAAACTGGCTAGGTGCCATCCTCTTCATGAATAATATTATCAAGGAGAAGTGATACAGTTGCATTGTGGAAGGGAAGGTGGCTCCACTCCTTAGGGCTTCAGTGTTTCAACATTATGCAAATGTGCCATAAAACATTCTGAGGCAAGGACCATGATGAAGAAGAGAACTGAGCTTCTACTTAATGATCTTAAGAAGAAGGATCCAGTGTATCAGAGCTTGTTGACAAGTGTGACTTGCTTTAATGCCCAGACAGGTAAGCCTTCAGGCCATTACACATCTTCAAACTGCCTTCATACAAACCCACCATCTGAATCTACCTCCTTTCACTGTCATCTCAGGCTCATTCTCAGAGTCTTCAGTCTTGGAAGCAAAGTGACTCCCAGTTATTAAAACTCAAAAGGCATAACATTGAGTTACAACAATCCATTCCATACATTTTTTACCATAAATTATTATTTTAGCATAATAGTAGCTGGCTGTCCATCTCACTAGCTGCACCTGGGGGATACAGAGAGCAATCTGCATGTTTACTTACTTGGTATGATGAACAGCAAGGTATGTGAATCTATGAAAAAGTGTCACACTGAGATTTTTATCCATATAATGCTCCATTTAACAGATTTTGTGTATGTTTACCTGAGCATCACAAGGAGTACAATAAATTCATGTCACTCTTTCATTCTGTAAACAAATATTTTACCATAAATAGAATGTGGTTGTGA